CGAGGGGTGGTGCGGTAGGCCCACTGGATGTTGTGGAGTTCTTCCACCCAGCCACCGCCCTCGGCCTCCAGCTTCTTTTTGAGGCCCTCGAGCAAGGTCCGGTTGGCATTTTCTACTTGCCCGTTGCCTTGAGGGTAGGCAACGGAGGAGAAGGTGTGTTCGATGCCCCATGCCTCCAGAAGGGCACAGAAGGGGGCTGCCTCAAATTGTGTCCCATTGTCGGAGACGATCTGCTGGTGGACGCCAAACTTTGTGAGGATGTTCTTGAGGACGAAGTGACGGCACTTCGCCTCTGTGATGCTGGCGAGGGGTTCAGCCTCCACCCACTTGGTAAAGTAGTCGATGGCCACAATGATGTATCTGTTGTTGGAGGTACCCCTCGGCAGAGGGCCCACAAGGTCTATCCCCCATCGAGAAAAGGGGACAGATGTGCTGATGGGGGCATAGTTGACCGCTGGCCTGCCGGGGGTTTTCTGGAAATGTTGACATGCGGTGCACCTTCGGGCAAAGTCAGCACAATCTCTGGCCATGGTGGGACAGAAGTAACCCTGGAGAATGAGCCTTCGGGACATGGAGAAGGGTCCCTGGTGAGCTGAGCAAGTGCCATTGTGCACTTCCTCCATTGCGACCTCGGCTTCATCTTGATGAAGGCACCGAAGTAGCGTGCCATTGTAAGATCGTTTGTAGAGCCTTCCATCTTCAATGGTGTAGCTAGGAGCCCTCAGCTTTGCCAGTTTAGCACGAGTCTCATTCTCGGGTAGCTGCCCCGTGGAGATGAAGGCGGTGATATCTGAGATCCAATCCTCTTGGCGTTGTTGTATGTTCATAACGGGGCTTGCATGGATACTTGAGAGGCTGAGTTCCTCAATTTTGGCAATTTTGGAGATGTGCTCGGGGGAGTCGGCCGAGAGCTTAGATAATATGTCGGCCTCGGAGTTCTGAGCCCTCGGTATTTGAGTGAGAGAGTGTGCCTCAAATACCTTAAGCAACTCCTTGGCCGCTTCCTTGTATCGCCGAAGATCACCGGGAGGGTTATTACCCCCTCGGAATCAATAGTATCGCCGGTGAAGCTGGCAAGAGGGGTCTTGATGGGCCGAAGGGACCCCCTCTCCAGATGCAGCTCTCTGAAGGTGCTGAGGTACATTACGTTGACGGAGCTGCCCGTGTCAATGTAAGTTCGGTGAATGATGGTGTCGTTTATTTCAGTCCGAATCACCAAGGCATCCCTGTGAGGAGATGAAGTAGGATGGAGATCTGCGTTGGTGAAGGTGATGGGTTCCTCCCTCAGTCGCTTTACTGGGGGCATATGAGTGACTTCCCCCAGGTAAAGCGATTGAGCCCACTTCTTTCGCTGGCTGGTGGAATCGCCCCCGTATTGCCACCGGTGATCATGAGGATGTGGCGTTTTTTCTCCTGGTAGTGGGGGTACTCCTCCTCCTCTTCTTCCAAGTTTCCGATCTCCCTCTTTTTGCCGAGGGGGATGGTGTTCGGGTTTAACCAAGCATTCACCTTCGTGTGGTGCCCTCGGGGAGGTCCCTGATGAGAAGGTCCCTCCTGCCGAGGGCTCTGAACAAATTGGGACAGGTGCCCCGCTTGTATCAACCTCTCGATGGCCGTCTTTAGCTGATGGCAGTCATCGGTTCTGTGCCCCTGGTGCCGATGGAAGCGACAGTATGGGAACTGAGGGTTAATAGCATGTACCTCCGGGGGTGCGCGGGAATCGCGCTCAACGAGGCCCCTCTCCTCGGCAAAATCAAGGATGATGCTGACGGGGTGCGTCAATGGTGTCCGGGAGCGGTCCAGGAGAATGGGCTGCGCCCAAGTCTTAGGGCTGCTCTTATAACCTCCCCCGGGCTTGGATTGGCCTTGCCGAGGGCGGTCATCAGAGGGTCCCGAAGCCTTGGGGTGATTTGGAGGAGCCCCCGGCCCTCGGTTATGCTTGTTGTCAGCCCTCGGGGGGCTGCTGGTCCGGATGCTGGTGATACTTCTCCACCTCCTCGTCCTCAGCATATCGGTCCCCCCGCTGCAAAGCCCTTATGTAGTCGCGGGGGGGTTCAATGATGAGGCTCTTTGAAAAGTTGCCGGTGCGGAGGACGGTTTGTAGGAGGGCCAGGAGGGTCCCGTCATCAACACCGTCGACCTTGTCGGCCTCCGTCCTCCAGCGCTCCAGGAAATCCTGAAGGGTCTCATCCCTCTTCTGGCGTATGGTTAGGAGGTGGGAGAAGTGCTTCCTTGTGCGGCGCCTCCCGGCAAATTGTGTCAAGAATCGTTGGGCGAGTTCTTGCCACGAATCAATGCAGCCCTCGGGCAATCGGTTGAACCATTCGTATGCCGGCCCCTCTAAGGTGGAGAGGAACCAACGACACAAATATTCATCCGACGCCCCTACCATCATCATGCTGTTTTGATATTTGTTGTAGTGTTCCTGGGGGTCCGTCTTCCCGTTGTAGGGCTGTATGTGTTGCCCTCGGTATTTTTCCGGGATCCGGGCCGTCAATACCCTTGGGGTAAATGGCGTCCGAGTCCGGAGCTGGATGACGGGTTCCCCGGAGCCCTCGGCCACCTTCTTCTGTAATTCCTCCATTTTGGCCATCATGGCCTCGTATTTGAGGTCTGAATGAGGGGTGGAGGTGGTGGCGTGAGCTTTGTTGGACTCCATTTCGTCAAGCCGGCGTTGGAGGGCCGCAATAATTTCGTCCCGGGGATCCTTCGGGAGGGTCTCCGCCCCCTGAGAAAGAACCCAGGCCGAGTGGGCCTGGTTGATTTGGTGGCGAGCATCATTGGCATGAAGGGGTGCCTTGCCTTTGTCCCGAGGGGGACGCTCCTCGTCTGCCCTCGAGACAGACCCTCCACTTTCCTGGGGCCTTTGGAGTGCCTTTCCTCCGAGGCGGTCTTGGACCCCTCGGCGGTCTGGCCCTCCTCCGAGCCGGTTGAGGGCGGAAGTGCGGGGCCTCTCCCTGTTGTCATTGTGGCGGTCCCGGGATTGTACTTCCTGGTAGGACGTATCCTGGGCCACTACCCCTTCGTCGTTCCTCACCCGAGGGGTGGGATTTCCGAAGGGGTGTGGCGGAGGGGGAAGTATGATGTTTTCCCCAACCTGGTGGTGAGCCGGAGCCAGGGTGCCGAAGGCACCCGGGTTCTGAGTGAGCGTTTGGATGAAGGCGGAGAGCGCCGACTGTACGTCGATGGCGAGAACCGGAGGGCTGACTTGGTCATCGCTCCGGTTTTTCTTTTTGGCCTCGATGCCAAGGCGGGCATCGGGGGCATTCTGTTGGATCTGAAGGCGTAGGTCGACAGCCGCCTGTTCCAGCCCAGCGATGACACCGCCCTCGGGAGCCCTGTGAGAGGCTTCGGGGGCGTTGACGTCGCCGAGGGCCAGGTTCTTGTCTTCCACGTTTTTGGAGTTGGCACGGGTTGTTCTCACCATTTTTGGTAGGGGGCTAGTGTTTGGCGAAGGGGGAGGGTTTCTTACTTGATTGTTCGACCTCTCAACGAGAGCACCAAATGATGGATGGTCTACCCGGGGGTATATATCCGGAGGGGTTATTGCTAGGAATAACTTAGAGAGAAGTCAGAGCACAAGTAAGTAAGAGAGAGAGTGTATTCAGTATGAATGTGGTGGTTACAAATGGGGAAATGGGGTGCTATTTATAGTAGCAATAAATGCCGGACAGGGACACGTGTCAAGCGCCCATTGACCGAGAGGTCACCCCAACTGGTTGGCGTTGGCAGCCGCATGTGGCTGCATTTAATGCGGCTGTTGGATGGGACGTCTGTACAGGGTACGGTGATCTGTACGCATGTGAGACGGATATCATGTCGGGAGAGATGCCCTCGGCTGCAGAGGACTAACCGAGGGCTCCCTAAACCGATGGCACCCTGGTGCCGAGGGCTCACAGTGCCGAGGGCTACTGTTTTTGCCGTTTTCTTCCAGTCTCTTAGTTTGCTTGAGAAACCCGTTCTGTGAGAGTTCAGAGCCTTCGGCCAGGGGGCCGAAGGCACCCCTGGCGCGTAGTGCGGGCTGCTTGGTACTCTGGGCGCTGTGATATGGGCCTGTTGGGCCTTCTGGGCCTGTCGGGCCTTCGCTGGAGTAGTAGGAGTCTGTGGGCCGGGGGTTCCCGGGCCATATACTCCATCAATATCTAATCTAACCTATTTACAAGAATTTAACAATCTAATCTATTACACCAAAAGTGTGTAATTTCCAAAGTAAAAGTCAAGCAAAACTAATTAAAAACATAAACATAGATATGGAAATTACGAACGTATCAACTCCCCCACACTTAAACCTTTACTCGTCTCGAGTAAGATCAAATGTTTACAAGCGTTAATGTTTGTCCAAAAGTTCCACAGTTCAACAAGAATACAATACAAACACAAAGACCACCAATGATGACAAAAAAGGAAATTCGGAGAAGGTTTGGAATTCGGAGAAGACGAAGTATTTTGGGACTGATTTGGGGTTATAATACCCGTATACCCGATCGAGTATGTGCTGGTACTCGGTCGGGTATGCCTGGAAAGTGGCTTTTTCGACCAGTCTGCATCCTGTACTCGATCGGGTAATGTATGGTTACCCGGTCGAGTATTGCTGGAAAGTTTAGTTTTTTAGCGGCCTGCCTCCTGTACTCGATCGGGTAGGGTGTTGTTACCCGGTCGAGTATGTTTAGAAAATGAACTTTGTGAGCACCCTGTCTCCTGTACCCGGTCGAGTATTCCTCCATACTCGATCGGGTATGTGCTTTTTTTCCATTTTTGAAGCGGGTACTCGGTCGAGTGTGGGAGTCAGTCCCCTTCAATTTTAGCATTTCTATACATACCTGACCGAGTGTATAGTGATACCCGATCGGGTATTGCTTATTTTTCAATTTTTGAGTGCTTCCTCGATCGAGTAATGCCCGGGCCCTTTTCTTTTTGCTCAAACACACCAAAAAACTTAAGTCTAACGAAAAACATCATTAGTTACTTTTTAAATTTCTTAAAATTATTCTTATTTTTGTCCGTTATATTACATGTCAAAACCGGCCCTTAACAATGTACAAAGTATTAGCCAAATAAAATAATTTGCATCATTTTCATTTTTCATATTCTAGGGAGATCTATTTCCCAATGAGATGATCACGAGTAAAAGAGTAATAGTCTTATAGTCAACCGCACAGCAGCACAGGTCAATGGGAACCTACCAACCATTCCTATGTAATACGTCCTGGTCAACGGCACGAGCAACGTTCTTCTTGCTTTTACAAGAGAAATTTTCCGGCGGTGCTGAAGATATAGAGGAACCCACCGGCGACGCCGGCCTCTTCTTCGACGTGATCCTTACGGGCTCCGGTTCACCGGAATTGATCCTCAGCGGGAAATTCAGCAAGGCCCGCGACCCGCGCATGCGGAATGCTGCCCTGTCATACGCTAGCGCCGCATCCTCCGCCTTCTCATATGTCCCCAGCCACACCCGGGCGCCGTTCTTCGCCGGGTCCCTTATCTCCGCCGCGAACTTCCCCCACGGCCGCCGCCTCACGCCCCTGTAGCGCGTCTGCGGCATTGGCGATGGAGGCGCCGCCAAATCCACCGTGCTCTCTGTTACAACATCAGGCGGAGGCGCCGTGAAATCCAACATCACCGGAGAATCTTGAAAACACGTGAACGGTTCTTTCTTGACGATGGCATCCTCGGGCGAGCCGGAATCTACGTTAAAGTGATTCTGGGCAGAATTATTAAATTCCGGAATCGCCCATCCCACCCAATTCTCATCCAAACGAGGAATCGAGCCTGAACTGGAGCTGGTGGTCCGGTTCAGAGCTTGCTCATTTTCCGCCGGAGCTTCGAAATCATCCATTAACTGTCGCTGAATTGATTCAAGAAAACTGAAATCAGTCATAATAAAGTCAGTATCTCCAACTAACATTAAAACTAAATCCCAGTCTTGCCAATCAACTGTTTGTCTGGACTGAAAAAACAGAGGAAGGAACGTAGGAAGAGGACAGAGCAGGGTGTTAAGCTTATGAGGTTGGTGATCAGTGGGATTTATAGTAGACGTTCCAGGTTAGAATTTTATGATTCTCAGTAATTGGAAAATAATACGGAGTAATAATAATAATAATAAAATATTTACCGTTCAATCTTGAAAAGATTATATAGAAATTAGTTCAAATAGGACTAAAACTATGGCAAAAACCTAAAATAGGACTTGTTATGTTTTTATTCCAAAATAGGACCATATGAGTCCTATTGGAAACATACCTATTTTTGAATTCCATTCTTACCCTTCCATTAAATATGAATTAAAAATAGTCAAAAGCCATAATTAAATGTTTAATTCATAATAAATTCGGAAAAAATTCAAAAATTCGTAGAAATATAATTAAAAAATTTATAAAATTTTTATAAAATAAAAAATTCAAAAACCTTTTTTTAAAAAAATAATTTTATTTTTAAAAAAATTCATAAAAAATAGTAAAACTCCGTAAAAAAAAATTAAAAAAATATGGATGCCTTTCCCACCGCCTGTACTACCTCCCAGCACCACCACCTCCGACCGATGGAAAAAAATGCCATTTTCCCAGAAAAATGCCATTTTTTTCTGAAAATGCCAAAAAAGTGGCATATTTCTCTTTTCGAATGCCAACATTTTCATTTTTTCTGCCATAAATATGGCATTCGTAATGAACTTGGCATTTTTTTCCCTGGTGACTGGAGGTGGTGGTGCTGAGGCGGCAGAGGCGGCGACGATTTTTTTTTTTGAGTTTTTATTTTTTTTTAATTTTTTTTTTAATTTTTTTAATTTTTTTAATTTTTTGAAAAAAAAAATTAATTATATTTTTTATATCGAAATGTTTTTCTTAATTTTTTAGTATTTTTTACGAATTTTTATTATTTTTTATTATTTTATTAGGAATTAAAACATTTTAATAGCTATAAGGGTATAATTGTCCAAGGTACACATAATTAGTCCTATGCAAACGTAGTTTATTTTTTGGTCTTATTTGTGAAAAGTGAATGACTTTTAGTCCTATTTTGATAATTATCTCTTATACAGTAGGAAGCAGTTGAGGCTTCCATGCAGTTTCGGGAAGACGAAATGTAATGTTGACGGAAACTAATGCTTTATTTCCCCACGTGCGATTACGGGGAGCTGTTTATTGGCTAATGGCGGCTTCTCAAGCTATGAAAAAGAATGTCTGAAACTCTCAAGAGCCGCAAATTATACGGTATTTTTTCAATTTCCTGCAACTTCAAGCCTTTTAATTCTTCTTCTGCTGCCATCCTTCCTTTTATTTCTTTTCCAACTGCCCCGTTCCTTTTCTTTCTTTTCCAACCGTCATTCTATTTGATCTTTCGTGCTAGTTGTTTTACATTTTGTGTTTTATCTTTTTGATTTTATATTTTTGTTTCTTTTAGGTTAGTTAGTTTACTTTCTTTTATCTTTTTTCTTTTATTCTTTTCGTTTCTTTCTTTTCTTGTTTCCTTCTTTCTTTTTCTTTATACTCCGTATATTAATACCGAGCACATTAGAAATGAGCTTTACTTTAAACTCAAATAAATAAAGTGTCTAAAAAGAATGGATATACACAAATTAGCTTTTGAATTTTTGAAAACTCATTTTATAAGTTATGCATGTCCATTTAGTACCTTCGTTATGCTCATTTTAAAATGTTATATCAATGCATATTTCAAAAGTCTCATATTACATTAGATTCACATATAACTTGATTATAGACACGAGACCACAAATCATGATACTCAATAGCACGATTCTAATACTCAATAACGTATGTTTGATGCCCACTGAAAATGTCTTGATGCTCAACGAATAAAACTTACAAATTTTATATCAATGTTCAGCTTATAAGTTATATATGCTCATTTGTATAGGTCTGATGCTCATTAAAAATTCATTAATGCTCATTTAACATTACGATTTTATAAGGTTTGATTCTCATTAAGAATTCATTAATGATCTTATAAGGTTTGATGCTCATTGAAAACTTCGTTATGTCAAACTAACAAATTTTACGATTTTCATATCATTGATCTTATAAGTTACATATGCTCATTTTGTATTGATGTTATGCTCATTTTAAAATGTCATATCAATGCATATTTCAAAAGTATCATATTACACTAAATTCACATATTGAAATTCATAAGAGTGTATTATAAATATAATTTAATAAGTTTTTATAAAAGAAAAAATAAGAAAAAGAACAAAAATTAGAAGATATGAAGTTGAGACCGTGTTACTCATTGTTAGCCTCGTAATACTCAATAAAATAGATTGGATACTCACTAAACGTACAATATTGCTCATTTAGCAGAAACCGTGAATTTTCGCTTAGATTATAAATATGCCACCGATTTTTTTTGACGTATATTAATGATTGAACCGTCTTTCTTACTTGGACCGTGTGTACGAACTCACATTAAAGATGGCTCGAACGATGTTATATGCTTAAGCACTAAAGACGGCTCGAACGAGCTATACCCGGGTTGCGTAATGTTAAAAGATGAAGGGCTGTTTGGTTATGGATGGGCCTACCATTTTTTTTTGACCAAGTCAAACAACTATTTTCTATTGATCATAGAAAACCTAGTATACATACCCTTCAAATTTACGTAATTATTTGAATTTTTAATGATTAATCTAAACTAGAAATACTGATTGCAATAAAATTAAAATAAAACTGATAGTATAATAATAATGATAAGAAATATCATTATAAATGTTATTGCTATTTTATACAGACTAGTATGTAAAAACTAATAAGAACATTATCAAGTTATTAACTGAAACAGAAAACCATTGGCTCTGAAAAGATTTGTCACATTGACTTTTCTTAGTTCAAAAATTCCTTTTGTACACCTTCTTATACACATTAGTACATCCTCGTGTCTGTGAGAGTTTTTTTTTGTCTGTGAATCCCAGTCCACAGACAAAAACAAGCTTATTTTGTCTGTAGAAATTTTCCCAGACAAAACAAACATATTTTTGTCTGTGGACTGGGATTCACAGACAAAAAAAACTCTCACAGACACAGGGGTGTACTGATGTGTATAAGAAGGTGTACACCAAGAATTGTTGTTCTTAGTTAATGATAACAAACTTTGGACTACGATTTTCGTAATTATAATTGTATATGATTTTTAAATTTATACTTTTATGAATTTTTTTTAATAAGAAACATTTTAATATACTTTTAATAATTTTGTATTAAAAATATGAGTGGTAAAATCGATCATCAATCATCATTGGAAAACAAGGACCGGTTAGAGACTTAGAGGAGCGCAGTGGGCTCAAACAATATTTCCAACAATTTTTTCCAAATTAATGGCACACGAAATCTCATTGGGAATGCTTGAGTTATGGCTAAACATTTTCCGCTCATTCGAAGATGAAGGGACGGAAAAAGATGAAGGGCTGTTTGGTTATTGAGAACGCTTTAACGGTTGAGTTATGCTTACCGGCACATATTTTCAAATACAATGATTTGATATTGTTCACGAAAAAAGTGTACAAATGTTTCAGAAAGAATAGATTTTCAATATTTAATGTAGTTCATAACGTTAACACAATTTTGGTTAACACAAACTTTGGTTAACCGAGAGATAGATAGATTATGAATTTATTAGCAGTCTATTGCGTGGGGTATCCAAAGTCCATACAAATGACAGAGATGGGTAGAATATTAATTTAATGGCACACGAAACTAAAGCACAGTTTGACCAAATTAGTTGATAATTTGGACTTTGAATTTGGAATTAGACTTTCCATACTTTAATGTCCAAAATTAGAAAGTTGTATGAGCTACTATTGTGTGACCAAAAAATCGATTCGTACACGCTTTGTGTACACACTTTTACACACTCATGTCTGTGAAGGTATTTATTTGACAAATACGTTTTTTCTGGGACAGACAAAAAAAAAATACCTCACAATAATGAGTGTGTAAGAGTGTGTACACAAAGTGTGTACCCCAAGTCTGATTTTTTTGTGGCATGCACTTTGTTACACGAATAGAATATTTGTGATTTTTGTACTTTATTACATTTTGTTAAAGTCATTTTGAAGAATATAAGAAATTGATAATGTTTTGAAGGACACATTAATTGTTAGGAGATTGTCAATTCATTCTCATTCTCTTGGTCCAAAAAGGTGGAATCTCCCACCCCAGGAGCCCCACACCGACCCGACAGGATGATGTAGGAGTTTATCACGGTGAATCAGTCAGCAAAGCGGCGGTATGCCTTATACACGTGCGCACCAGAGGTCCAGTCTTATTTCAGATTCCGTAACCTCCACACGGCCGTTGCGGGTTTCAAACTTTGGTCACTTGGTCCAATTTTCCCACCACTCGATCAAGTGAGCTACTCGTATGGGTAATTCATTCTCATTCTCAAACAGATTCTATGAACACTACCAAAGTCGTGGCCCAATTGCTCGGAGAGAAACTCTTGCCCAATTCCTAGCAAATAAAATGTCACCCAATTTCTAAGCACTAGTAGTATTCTTGCAGTTGATGGACGATTGGAAATGAAGTGGACGTGTGATCCATGATAGGTCTAACATTTTTTCTCTTTTTTCACTATATCCCATCTAGAGAGATTCATCCAATTTTATTACACTTTAAAATTAATTTAGTTTTATATTTTTAAGGCTAAAGGGTTACATGAACTAACATAAAGTGTTCAATTAGCTCCTTATATAAGAAGTTCTGCCCGACCGTCGCCAATTGAGGCGGTTCCCGGTAAAAAAATTTTATGAAATTTTTTGAGCATCTTCTTCATTAAGTCTAGTTTACCCATATAAAATTTCATCTAAAAATTAAATCGTAAAGGCAGTCAAATGATTTTCCGAAATGTACTGCGCTGTTTAATTGCGCAGTTATCTTCAAAAAATCATTTGACTGCCTTCCCGGTTGAACTTTTAGCTGAAATTTGGTATGAGTAAACTAGACTTAATGAAGAAGATGCTCAAAAAATTGCATCAAAAAATTCCACCGGGAACTTCCCCAA